CTCCCCCTCACCATTTTCAATCCTTACTCTCCCCCCCCCCCCCAACCAAACTTTGGTTCTTTCCCGTTTCACATTTGTGCCTCTGTGCCCTCTTAGACATTCACTCCTCCCTCCTATCCTCCATGCTTCTCGCCTCCCCTTGAACACTCACTCATTTCTACACTTGATAACGGCGTTCACATGTTGGAAAGCAGGTGATGGAACCTTTTGATAAGGGGAGCTTACGCCTTGTCACCAGGGAGTTGGCACTTCTAGGACAAGGGGTTTGCTTGAACTGCATCCGGAGAAAATATTTGCACTTCGTTAGGGGTATTAGAGAGGCGTTTATGGGGTGTTTGCACTTCGTGAGGAAGTGGGTGTTTGCTTTTCCCAAAGGGTTATTGGATGGGTGCTGCGGCGTATTTGCACATCAGGATGATGTCTGCAATCTTTTTTTTCCTTTTTCAATTTAAACACTCAGGCCACTTCTATTCTGGGGGACATCAGTCTGCACCAGCAAGCAAAGAACAAGTTCAAGTAATAGACGGGAAGGGGGTTTCAGCCTGATACCCCTGCCGTTCGAGACACTATGCAAGGGGCTAGGAGGGCTAACCAGGGCGGCCATCCGCTGGCCCTTCCTCGGGACTCACATAATGGCCGGGAGCCAAGGCTAAGCACCCAGACGAGCATTATGTGGGTCACAGGGGAGGCAGCCCGGGTCCCATGGGCGCCCCTCCAATCACCCGGCCTCACAATCTTGCACACCATTCCACCCTGTCTACAGCACCTCCCTTAACCCCCCTCTCGTTTCCCCCTCATGGCCATTGTCCAACCCGCTACTGGTCCTCATTACCTACCCTTTACATCACCCATTGCCACAGCACGTCAGTCCAAACACCCCACGAACAGCCATCTCAACTCACTTGTTTCACTCATACCCCCTCTCGCTACCCCATAGGTATCACTTCTCCCAAGTGTTCGTGTTTTTTTCCATTTCCCCCCCTACCTACAAGGCCCATCCTACCTATTCCAGTGCGGCCAGCATTCCGCGCTTCCCCCATCCTACTAATGTTACATCTATGCCAGCCCCCTTACCACATACCACTTGTCATGTCTGACTATGGTGCATTGCGAGCTGACTATCGTGACCTGGAATCTAACCTACCACACCTAGGTCGCCCCTGCTCATTCAAATTAGAGGCATACTTCTAGAGTAGGGTCCCAAAGATCAAATTGCTCGACCCCGGTTCCTTCTTCACCGTTGTTGGGTACACCCCCCAAAATTTCCAAAATTGAGCGTCATCACTCCCCTGCCTCCACTTCTATTTCGACCAGTCCGCGAGTAGTATCACTCTCATATTTCCATCACTCTGCTTCATATCCCCTACATGGTGACATACTAGCCCTGGCGGGTTCGTTCATTGCGCAACGTCCATCTCTTTGTAGCACCGCGCCCCTCACCACTTCTGCTGCATAGAGGCTCTATTTACTCTCCCTATCCACCACGATCAAAGCCCCTCGACGGTCACACTCCATGGGGAGGGCTCCTCCATAGCTGCCGCCCACCATGTCCAAAAATCCGCAACTATCGGGCAATGCAGGAAAAGATGGGGGATATATTTCGTCTGGCCACATCCTGGTGCCGAGCAGAGCCCCTCTGTGCGCCAGCTCTTTAATGCCAGCCATCGTGCAGTAGGGACAGCTAGGTGATAAATCTGCCATGGCAGCTCAGCCTGTTTCTGGTCAGGCAGTGTCCTCAAGATTGCGCACTGCTCCCGCCATTTCCAATGCGTCCATCTTAGGATCAATGTCGGGGGGGATCCATTCCCTTTTGGCCCATCTATCCCTAAGCTCTTCGGACACATCTTGCCTCAGAGGATTAACCTATAGATCGTCTTTGTGGTGATCTGTTGAAGTGGGATACTTCTCTTGCTATGATTTTTAGGGGGAAGGGACCATTCCTGGAGGTCCAGCACCGATTGTCTTCTGGTTTCGCCAGGCAAAAGGGGAGACAGACTTCCTTGCTCCTCTTACCTCCCTTGCAGACCCACATCGTCCCACTGTGGATGAGTCAATCAGGCACTTACAAGGGAGGTCCTCGTCAGTTCTCAACACTAGGGAACCCAGGCCCTCATAGCCTGTCCTTACTAACCATTCGTAGCCCACTGTCTCCCTGCTTTCTGTGGCCCCTAAATTCTATGCACTATGCGTGGCCGTGTCTCCCCCTTTCGACTCAACCAATCCCCTTGCTGCAGGTCCCTCATCTTTAATAGCTTGATCCACCAGGCTGAGATGGCTTCCCCCAATACACGTAACCTCTGGATCCTTCTAAACTGCCTCGGCAAGCTCTCTATCATTTCTTCATCAGTTCTCCAGTCCCCCCTCTGCATGTCCCATAGGTGTCCAACTTTGTAGACCGCTTGCTCCACCCACTGCCGCCCGAATGCCCACCCTTCCCTGCCACGGGTATGGGTCTCCATGAATATCGCATGTAAAGTATTATAAACATGTTGTCAAAGAGCAACCGATTATAGACCGCATCCGCACTACATTGGAGGTGCCCTTCCATGGATACGGGTCTCCCTCAATGTCGCATATAAACCGGTTGTCAAATAACAACTGATTATAGCCTGCATCCGCAAACTCCGGCCACCTATATTGGAGGTGTATCTTTCCCTTCCACAACGACAGTAGTGTGGACCATACCGTCTTCCTCCGAATGTAGCTCATGATATTGGTGCTGGTGAAATTGACCAATTCTGGCGAAGTTCTCAATGGACAGGCCACTTGGCGCTGCTTTGTCTTTGGCTCCCTTGCTGTCGCAACAGCAACCATACAAGGTTCCTCAGTTGCAATGCAATCATCTGTAGCCTTGGGTCAAGAATTCCCAAGCCCCCTTTTTGCCACCCTACTAATGCTATCGCCCTTCATCGCCCTCCCCACCCCTGGAATCAGTTTCACCAATGCCACACTGCTAATGCTATCGCCCTTCATCGCCCTCCCTGCCCATAGATACGCATGGATTGCTGTCCTCAACTGAGTTAGTAACCGATCGGGTCCGCATACCACAAGGGTTGCCAGCGCGGAGTTGTTAATCACCAGCGCCTTCACAAATACACCCAGATTAGTGTGCTCACCCCACACCACCATTCTGGTGATCTTCGCCACCACCAGTGAAAGCATCTGGGCTGTTACACTTACTCCTAGGAAGCACAGTCTCGCCTCCTCCCCTAGGGTGGGCACGCCCAAACCCTCTAGTAGGGGGTAATCCCTTAGACAACACGGCTCTAAGACCTTTTCCAATTTACTATCGCCCCCAAGTACTTGCAAAAAGTCATCAGGTCGTCCTTTAATACTTTTAGCTGGTGCGTCATTGGCGGGATAATGGCCACCAGGTCGTCCGCAAATACCAGCGTTTTCAGCCATTTGCGTGGCCCAATACTCGGCCCTTGCAGCCTGTCATCCCTTCTCATCAAGTCATGCAGTGCTTCAATATAGATCACACACAGTTCAGGGGATAACGAGCACCCCTGTCTAACCGACCTTGTGGTCCGGATCCCCTTTGACCTCATCCCGTTGACTTGCATGTAGGTTTGTGCATCGGTTAGCAAGGTCCACCCCCACCCCCTGAAGATACCACCAATTCCCCTCCTCTCCATACTTTGCAGCATGAATGTCCATTTGACCCGATCATAAGCCTTTTCAAGGTCAATAAGGACGAGCACTAACTATGTGCTCCCCTCCGTTTGCCACCTCCAATACCTGTCTGGCCAGTTGGATATCGGTGAACTATCTGTCTGCCCGGTACGAATCCCGTCTGCGTGGGATGGACCAGTGTCAGCAATACTGCACTCAAGTGGGTCGCCAGGATCTTTGGCAATATCTTGTACATCTTCCCCAAAGGATCTTAGGCCCCCTCTGGGGAGGCTCTGATGCAAATGCATATGGACCCCCGCGGCGCACCGATTCAGCCACCTCGTTAACGGCCTAAAAATGTGGAGGTACTGGTGGTTTAAATACCGAGATTGAAAAATTGGCTTTCCGTACTTCCGAAAGTCGGTAGGCCAGAAGAAAGCAGAGGGCGGCAAAATTCAAAACAAAAAAGAAAGCGCCAACTTTGGCAATTCTTCATGCTCAGATCCCGTAGAAGTATGCACAAAAATATCTGAAAATTTGAGATCCCGTAGATTAGGTCCTGATCTTTCCAGGAAAATTATCAGGAAAAAAAAAACAAAAAGACCATGAAATAAATTGTCATGCCAATTCGGCACCTCTTCATCGTCCCGCTGCCGCATGTGGACCATGCAACTTTTGCTGGGGGGAAGTACTCCGACTTCAGTGATTTTTTGCACTCAGAAGAATGCACCAAAAAAAACTGAAAATTGGAGGGCCCATAGACGGCCCGGCCTTTCCAGGAATTTTTTTTTTTTTTTTTAAATGAGTGAGAGCAGAAATCCAAATTCCATCATCACATTGGGAACCAGATAGTCGTGTGTCATACAGAAAGCAGAATGCACCAAGTACACACCAAATAAGAGCATAGCAATGAACTCAATTGTCAATGTCGGCCCCTTGTCTCGCCACCATCAACAAAGATCCAATGTCGCTCTTCCAACTGGTGCTTGGCGCCCAACCACAGACTCACGATGCCTATCCTAGCCTACACTATGACGATGCAACCAGGAGAACTTCAGCAGCAAAGTGATGCACATCAAGATGTTACCCATGCAGACCTCCATGACACACCCGGTACGTCCTCCTCTCTCCCCAAGCTCACTTGCTGACCGTCCCTCACAGGGCTTAGTGAACTTGGGGAGAGAGGCCACAGACTCACGATGCCTATCCTAGCCTACACTATGACGATGCAACCAGGAGAACTTCAGCAGCAGAAGTGATGCACATCGAGATGTTACCCATGCAGACCGCCATGACACACCCGGTACATCCTCCCCTCTCCCCAAGCTCACTTGCTGACCATCCCTCACAGGCCTTAGTGAGCATGGGGAGAGAGGAGGACATACCTGCTGACTGTCCCCATGCCTGTCAACCACACGCTTAGTGAGCTTGGGGAGGGAGGAGGACATACCTGGTGATTGTCAACCACAGACTCGTTACCATCCCCATGCCCGAGGACCACCTTTAACCCCACCGGCCTCCGGAGCGAGCAGCCCGGCTATGGCTGCCGCTCTCCTAGCTGTGCCCAGCAGCCTTGCACCCAGCGCCCATGTGCACTCTTCCAGTCAGTGCCCTGCTTTGCCCAGCATCGACAATGGCAGCACTGCCGCAGAGGCCTCCCTGTATCTGAGCCCAGGGCCTTTGCAGATACTGACCTGGGACCGACTTGGTTAGAGCAGCCCAACTGTGCGATGTGGCTGCTGCTCTCCCATTCGCCGATAGGCTGTCAGCCACATCGCACTGTCGCACGTTCTGGCCAGGGGCTGGTCACACAGCCCTCAAGTCTGGGCCCTTCCAGAAGCTTTGGCCGGCCATGATTCTCAAAGGCCATGTGCACAGCGGATGAGGTCATCTATCACGCTCAGTGAGAGGGCCCTAATCCGCAAGGCAATAAATAAAGGGGACCTAGCCCAGTTGACAGGTGACCTGATTTGCTCCTAATATAATGTTCCACTCTCTCAGGTTACCCCGAAGCAACTCCTCAAAGCAAAGATGAGAGATGAATGGAAAGCATTGCATAGGCTGATTTAATACCTATGTTTCATATCATAATGGGAACACGACGGGAGGAGGGGCACTGGTAGCCAACTGAGGGAGTCCTCAAGGTGATCAGCAGCAATCATGCTTAATCAACCCACTGAAATGGTCTGGTGCTACCGTCAGCAAGTTGTACCACTGGATGGATGCACTTGTTGTCAAGATGCAACCAATAAGACCGCATCCGGGAGGCAGACACAAAGACTAATCCATTACATAGGTCGTCATTCATAACATCTCCATAGTGCTCCCCCTTTTCCCAGTTTTTTTCATTGTTTCCTGTCATGGAGATCCAACCTGGAATCAACAAGTCGCTGCTGTCTTCAGGTAAATGCTGACCAGTTAAGCGAGGTCAGCATGCACAAACTCCTAACTGAAGAGGGCACTCTCCTCGGCGACCCTATGCTGGACGCATAGACAAAAGACACTGCCTCTGTAGCGGGAGAACCAATACTTATTCTTAATTACTACAGATCTAGGCAATCAAGCTCCTGAACCACAATATTAGATCTGTCCTGCAAACCCTGACAAGGCCCAGTACCGTGCCTGTTTCTGGCAGTCTGAGAGGGGGAAATCCAGGCCTACAGAGGTCACAGCTTTGGGAAAACAGAACGCCTGGTGGTCTTAAGCCATAAAGTGCAACGGAACCTCTCTTTCGGAAGAACCTTGACAGCTGAATCAGGTCATCCCTATCAGGACGCAACAAGAGGCGGCAACAGTGGCAGTGTGGGTGGAGATGATGTAAGATTAATAGTCAAGAAGGGAGGGCCAAGAACTGGAGGCAGGGAGCATTGAGATGGAGGCTACGGGCGAGGCGAGGGTAGATGATAGGGACAGAGGCAAAGTTGTCGATCAACGAATGGGAGTTGAGGGGACTGAACACTGAAGCAGCAAGACCAAGAAAGGTCCGTGGCAAAGTCAGGGATCTGTGTTCCATTACCGTGGTAAGGCAGACAGAAGGAGGTTGTTGTGAGGACAGATGGCGTAGATGGAAGATTGGCCATCAAAGCATACGAATACCTTCTTCCCCCAAACATAAGGCATATGCGTTGTAAACGAATACAATGCATAGGGTGTGTTCTATTCGGATACAACGCATACACGTTCTATTCGAATAGCCCCGATTTTCAAACATAACCCATATGCGTTCTATTCGGATTTTGTTCAAATTCCGAAACTCGAATACAGCACATATGCGTCATGTTCAGGGAAGAAGGTAGTCATTGAATGAGTCGAGTAATCTGTGGAGGGTATCAGCGCTACCATGAAGAGATAAGAGGGTCCAACCCTGGGGCTCGGTCAATGGAGGGTGTCCTCCAGAAAGCTTGCAAGGAGTACCATGTTGTTACTACAGCTCTGCAAGTCTTGCCAGTCGGTTCAAATTTTGAGTTGTCCCGTGTAGGCCCTGCTGGTTCACGAGAAGGAAGGTTGTATGTGGTCCCAGGATGACAGGCAAAAGACAAATTCCACGCTGTCATAGACACTAGTGAAGCAGTGATCCACAGGTTCAAACACGAAGTGTGTAGCTAAAAGGGACAGGGGGCACAGGAGACCATGCGCATTCGAGGCCATATTGTTTCTGGCAGTGGTGGCAAATTACCGCAAAAAGGAACCTTCTTCTTATTTTGTTTTTTGTGCAACAAAGAACAACATTGTCAATGGGTTGGTACACGAATGCATACTGCTGAGTGCTCCAAACATCGGACATAAACCAGGCCTCATCCCCGTAAAGTGCCAAGTTGGGAGTCTCTTTCCTTACCATAGGAATCTGAATTGACAATGTACCGTCTGCAGTGCACATACAAACACGAAACGGGGGGTTTTCTGCAAACGATAGCTAACCGAGTCCTACTGACCTACCTGCCACCTACAGATATTAGCGATCACAGGTTGACTTCTTGTGCATGGTGCGCAGTTGACCACTGCTAAGATGGCAATTTCAGAGCTCAGAACGGTTCCCATACTAATCCGGTTTCACAAGGTACCACCCGCGTTCTGTAGGTAGGTGTCCATAACAATCAGACAGGGACGTTTGCGACAGATAGGTGACGGGCAGTAGGGGCCCGTCAGCTATCTGTCGGGCCCCTACTGACCTGCCTTCCAACAAAGGGGGGGGGAAAGTGGGTCCCTACTGACCTGCCTTCCAACAAAGGGGGGAAAAAATGATAGCTGACGTGCAGTAGGGAAAAAAAAGTGGGTCCCTACTGACCTGCCTTCCAACAATTGGATCTCTGTTGATGGTGGCGAGACACGGGACAACCTGCCTTCCAACATAGGGGGGAAAAAGTGGGTCGGGATCTCTAGAAGTGGTTTCTACATCTGACTCACCTCCCTCTGTCATGCGTGTCATATACATGCACTAACAGAAACCCCCTGCCTGCCAAATAACGGAGACAACGTTTTCTCAAACACACTGATTATGGACCACATATGTTCAATAAAAAGATGTGACCGTGGTTATCTTCTTATTAGGCACGTAGGCTAATTAATCAGTCGACTTCTGTTATTCCCATATTTAAATCAAACAAACACCCAAACAGAAAAGAAACGTAGCCAAGCGTCATTCGTATGAATAACTAGCGCTCTCTAGCGCGTGCGCGAGCGCGCTCACATGCCTGATGATGTCATTGTCTCCTCCTAACGCAGTGTCCTTTTCCCAATGCCACAGGTAATCTCGGGCCCCTGTCGCCAATACTGTGAGAGATAAGATCAATCCTTGACGCGAATACAGTTGACGTTGACGATGACGATTCACGATATAGTCCCAAGCACATCACGAACAAACACTGCTCGGAACCTTTTCCACCCGCTTTCCGTGCAAAGATCTTACTGATCACCTAAGGGAGAAACAATCACAGTCAGGCCAAATGACAAAGACGGAATCAAAACTCGCATGAAATCCACCTGATATCGAACAAATTTGAGGGGGACACAAAGAGCGACGGGGAAGAGGAAAGAGGAGGAGCCACGAAGGCTGAGAAGAAGAGGGAGCAGACGAGCAGAAGCGAGGGAGAAGCGGGACCAGAGGCACGACAGAAGCGAGGGAGAAGACTGCCGAAAGGGAGAAGAACGATGTGTAGCCGGTTCACAGGGAATGCTGATGACCTACAATACGTATGCACGCACGTGGAATACACACGCCTACGCCTGGAATACATGTGCATGGTATGTGTACCGGAGGCTGAAGGTAGGTGGGGAGGGGGGCAGGGGATGCGCCCTCAAGACATGCACCAACGGCGCCACGATTCCGCAAGTTTCAAACCCTCGCGGGATGTATTGGCATGCACATCTGTGCGCAATCCGCCTAAAGCACATGATTGGGCTGATGATCGCAGCAGATCACGGAAGACGAAGACATCTAGAGTTCAAAAAGCGACAAAAAACAAAGACACTGCTACTGTAGAAGCAATGGCAAGGGTGAATAGCAAAAGCAGTCGTGGAAGGCAAGATAATGATGATCATCATCATTGACAAGCATCATCATCATCATCATAATCATCATCATCATCATCATCATCATCATAATCATCATCATAATCATCATCATAATGGTGATGATGACGATCTTGGTGACAACTGCGATGATGATAATGACGACGGTGACAACGATGATGATGGTGATTGGGTGGCAGTGCTGGGAGTGATGATGACGGTGATTACATGGACTACTCCGATGATGCTCATGTTGACTCTTTTGTGCCTCAGCGGGCGTGGCGAACAGAAGTACCAGAATGAGAGGTTGAGGCAGAAGAGCGAGAAGAACAAGAACAGGAGAAACGAGAGGAGGAGGAGGAGGAGGAAGACAAAAGAGAGGAATCATCCTTCTTGTTGCTTTTATAGAAACCGCACTGGTGATAGCCGTCATGGCAGTGGTGTACCGACGGGCAAAAAGCGCTTGAGGCGCAACCTATGATGATGATCGTCATCATCACGAGCATCCGTCATCATCATCATCATTATCAACACCTCCGTCATCATCATCATCATCAACACCTCCGTCATCATCATCATCATCATCATCGTCGTCGTCCTCGTTGTTGCAGACGTCGTATATGATGATGACGGGGGTCAGGGTGGTGATGATGACAATACGTTACGATGATGATGATAAGTGATGATAAGCGATGATAAGTGATGATAATCGATGATAAGCGATGATAAGTGATGATAAGTGATGATAAGTAATGATAAGACTATCATAGTAGTTGATAGTGATGATGGCAATGACGACGAGGAGTGGCAGTAACAAAGCCGTAGAAAGCAGTAGCAGAAGAAAAACTCGACAATGATGCTTGATGATGGTGATGATGATGATGATCAAGGTAATGACTTTTGGATGCAACGGCTGCGCTTTCCGAAGGAGGGCTAAAAAACAGTGCCCACGTGGCAATAATGAGGATGATGTTGATGATATGAGCTCTCCTTGAGTTTCGTCTTCTTCTTTACTTTCCTTTTCTTTCTGCCTTTCCCTTCTTTTACTTCTTCCTTTTCTGACGCCGCTTTTCTTCTCTCTTCCGTGCAATAACCGACAGATAGATAGGCTTTCTGCTGCTAAGCCTCAAGGGTAGCGGCGTACGCAACCTGAGGTATAGCACATGTTGACATGGAGTAGACTGGCGCACACCTGACGTGTGATGAATCGGGGTCGTGTACATGACAGCTGGGAAAGTCATTGCTCTACATTCATTCCTCTGTCCGATTATACGTTCGTTTGACCAGCAGCTTATCAGCTATAGTTTTGTATATCCCCCCGTACATACCAAAGGTGAACAAAAAAAAGAGAAAAAAGACAAAACGAGGGGAAAAAAAAGAAGAAAAAGTTTGCACTTACTGTTCCCCTCCCCCCCCCCCCCCCCCCCCCCCCCCCCCCCCCCCCCCTTCTCGGCGGCTCTCTCTCTCTCTCTCTCTCTCTCTCTCACACACACACACACACACTCCAAAAAAAAAAAAGCGATTTTCTTTTGAAGCTCAGTGACAAATTAAATTCACATACAACCTATGTGGGTCGATGTGTGAACACGCACTTATTGATGGACTATCTCTTACTACTTGCATCATCGATCACGGGGAGGTATTCTGCTAATTGTGCATTTTATTTTCTATTGAAGGAGGTTTAGCCCCTAGTAGTAATATTGTACCATCTACCTGGATACAAAGTCGTGATCTGTTAAACAATAGACACATGTGAGTGGCTGGACCTGGTCTGCCAGATCTATCAAGACAAATATATATATATTGTCACAGATCTATAGATATATAGATAGATATAGATACAGATATATCGTCACAGAGAATTGCCCAGTGAGCCGTAGGCAGAAAGGTACAAAAGGACAAGAAACGGGAGGCTGTGACGCCGACTCGTCAGGAGGCTGAGTATAGTCCATATGCAGATTATATGTAGATTTTTTTATTTTATTTTTTTTAGATTATATATCTACCGTTACAGATCTACCTACGGAATCTCTGACGACATTTATACATATATTTATTTACATACGTAAATCTAATGTTACAGATCTATATCGACCACATCGGCGTTGAATCAACAGAATATATGAACACAATCAACTGATACATGGGGCTGTTTCTTGACCACATCACCATTATCAATCACGGCGAGGTATTCTTTCAAACGTGGGTATACTTTCAAAAGACGTTTAAAATCACACATTTCTGACAAAATCCATGGTGCGAATTAGCTTGTGGGGAAACCCGACCAAATATCTTTCCACACATGTATCCTGGTCTCGAATGGCACGTGCGCCGCCACCGCCGCAAGCCTTGTCACCTCCCCTCCCCTCCGACACAGAGCGTACGCTCACACCAGTAGACTTTCTCGCCTGAACCTGGCCGTAATATTCGGCTAGGATATGTCCAGGAAACAAAGCGTACGCTCACACCAGTAGACTTTCTCGCCTGAACCTGGCCGTAATATTTGGCCAGGCCTCCAGAGAAGTACTACCTTAGTGTGAATATTATATCCTTCCTCCGTCTGAAACCGGCCGATTGACGGCGCGATCAGAGATGGCGGCGCTGTCTCCGCACAGTACTTCTCGCTGACACTGACCAACTAACTAACTGTTTGGTCGAAATTCTGACTACCGTCTTCACCCGAATAGAACGACCGGTCATTATTATGCCCGGATTTTGTGCAACTTGCAGACTAGATACAGCGATAATGACCAGGCGTTCTATTCGGGTAAAGACGACAGCACGGACGGATTAAGAAAGAAATACTGGCTGTAGATATAACGAAGATCGACGGAGAGCCAAAACAAAGGGGAAAAAAAAACAGAACGAAAGGCCAGTCTGCAAGTATCCCTTTGTGCGTGCCAGCCGAATCTCGGCCTTTAAAGGATCTACTAGTCCTACTGCGCACGCTTTTGCTGTTGCTTTTGCTTTTGCTTCCGCGGTTTGTTTACGTTCGTTCTTAAGCGCCTGTGTCCCTTTTCGGGATCGGATTCACCCTGATTTTTCTCTATGTTTTTAAACTCCGGCCGATTTTTCTGCTACCCCCACGTCTATTACAGTAAATAAAAGCACACATTTTATTTCAATGAGAGGCGAACGGGCAGGCGGGAGCGCGTGGGAGAAGAAGAAGAAGAAGAAGAAGACGGAGCAAACGCACACGATCACCCCATGAGCTGGGCGGGCAGTGCAGAGGCCCGGGGTACCCGCCCTAAGGCTGCTGAATATTACCGAGACGTAACTGTTTGTGAAAAACACATCTCTCGAGATCGAACGGTGACGATACAATATACTTGTTAAGCCCTGCCTGCCCCTCAACAAAAATACAAGAACAGGCCCCTCCTCCTTCCCTCCCCCGCCCCGTGCCCACGCCCCCCCCCGCAGCATCATCATACCGAGGGGGAAGCATGGAGGCATAAAAAGAGAAAGGAAACGGATTGTCGAGAATCTCAGCAAGGAAGAGGACCGTCAACGATAATCTTGACATGAACAACTCATACTCCACACCTTGGGAGTTCCCTCCCTCTTCGTGCCCGCTCACCTCTGAATACAGTACAGTGCACCGATTTCCTACGGTATTCTATTCTGTTTGTCTACTATCTAAAAAATTATAATTACCATGATATTATTATTACTATATTGCTCCTATGATAAATTGTTTTTTTTTTTTTTTATTCTGTCATCCTGATAATACTAATATGCTTAGAAACTGCGTAGCTCTTCGTCTACCCACAGCGGTCATCTTCTTCTCCGTTGCCCTGACTGGGCCTCTTCCCTTACCTCCTCCCCATCTCCTTTCCCCCCTCCTCTTTCCCTTTCCCCTGTCACACGTCCATATCAGCAAGGGCTCGCTCAGCCTTCGCCATTGACCACATGCCTAGAAGTCTTGTTAACCGAGAGAATTCCATACTCACACCGGGTCGTTTTGGGGCGAATGTAACCGTGAATGCGGTCACTTGCATCCGCTTGTCTCAATTCTCCCTTAGCCGCCATTGCCCATTCATTCAATCAAACCTCTGCACAAGGGCCGGCACCTCAGTCTCCTCTCCACTGATTGATCGGGCCTCGCTCCACTAGAGAACACTCTACATGCATTTGGATGCTTTCCACTCCCCGTACATTCACAATGTTGGTATGGTCGACTAGGTGCATTGGAATGATTCCAACATTGTGACTGTAAGGGAGCCGAAGGCGTCCAAATGCATGTAGAGTGTTGTGTAGCGGAACGAGGCCCATTGATTAAGTGAGCAACCGGACAGATTGATCGATTGATCGATTGACGATTGGTTGATCGTTGGACATATCGGGCCTATCGGGCCTCTATCCACTACTCACCAAGGGTGCAAAATGAGAACGACGAAAACCTGCATTCAAGGGTTAGAAACGATCGCAAAGGGCACATGCATATACACAGATGCCGCAAGAACAAGCAGTCACGTAGACACAATTGAGAGAGAGACAATCTCACATCAAAAAACAGAACCAAAAAAAGGTCCAGAACTGTGGAGAAAAGAGAGAAAAGGGAGAAAGAAGAAAAGGGAGGAAAGGGAGCACCGGGAGAGAAGGGAGCAATGCGAGAGAAGAGAGAGATACATTCTACAATCAGAGCACAGAAATTCCCCAATCTAAAAGCGCGTCCCCGTTAAGATCACACTCGTCAAAGTCCTGTCTGTGTGTGCGTGTGAGAGAGAGAGGGAGGGGGAGACAGAGAGAGAGAGAGAGAGAGAGAGCGAGGGCATGTGTGGTGTGGAGAAGAGGGTTGGATTAGCAGATCCGTGGTTTTTTGGATGAGCGACAGTGTGGCTATATTGGTGACACTGGAACGTGAAGTGCGCCGTTCGACGACGAGTGTCATGTGAAACGTGAGGACATCAGCTGCAGTAGAAGCCAAGTTATACACGATGAGGGAGGGTTTTCGAGGTGTGCCGAACGGAACTATGATGGGATCAGTTGGACGAGGCAAGGCACGTATGTCCACCGCAAAGTGCCAACTACCATCTTCACCCGAATAGAACGCCCTGTCATTATCGCTGGACTGGAACTTGGCCCAAATACAGCTATAAAGATCGGGCGTTCTATTTGGGTGAAGACGGGTAATACGGTGGAATCAGCTCGATCGTGAAGACGGGTTATATAGTAATATAGTATGATCGGCTGATCGGGCGGTCGATCAGCGGTGATCGAACTTCGACCATTCTTTCTTGTTCTTTTGCTTTCGTACTTTTCCCCCGTACTTTTCCCCTCGCCCACCGATCTGATGCCGAAGACTACCTACACCATCATCATTCTCCCGATTGTCCTCCTCCGCATAGCCGCCCTGACCTTTCCTCGCCTCACTTCTTTTTTTACCACGCTCAGATACTGACTTCCATCATCATCATTATCACCATCACCATCATCATCGTCCTCCTCACCATCATCATCATCATCATCATCATCATCATCATCGCCACCATCATCATCATCATCATCCTCACCATCATGATCATCATCATCATCATCATCACCATCATAATCATCATCATCATCATCACCACCTGACAGTCATCGTCGTGTTTTCCACAACTCATCATCATCACCGTTCATCCCAACGCGGTATCAACCGCCTGATTTAAAAAATCAAAGTCAAAAAAGGCAACTCCTCTTTTCTTTCAATTGCAGTATGTAATCGACAACACAGCAAATACTAACGACGACCATGACGTGTCGTTCTTTTGCAGCCGCAGCGAGAGAGAGAGAGAGAGAGAGAGAGAGAGAGAGAGAGAGAGAGAGAAGACTACTCGAATCAGGTCATAAAAAGGGTGCGTAGCGTTTGGGGGAAGACGGTAGGGTGTCCTCAATGGACATCAACGGAGAAACGAAGAGAGGGAGAGAGAGGTGCAGCAGAGTTTCGAAGCGTTGGATGGAGCCGAAGCCTGGGAACTATTTCCTCCCTACTCCCCACAGCATGTCATCATCATCCTCATCACCGCCATCATCATCATCATCCCCCCCCTACGTCCCACAGGGACCTACCTACCCCATAGTACCTACCCCATCGACGAGGCGGCGGCGTCTAAGGAAGAGAGAAGATGGAGGTGGAGGGACGAGACAAAGGAGAAGGAGAACGAGGAGAAGGATAAGGAGAAGAACTTGACAAAGGAGTGAGGTCAACAGCAAGAGGACGAGGAGGATTGGAGTTGAAGAAGATAGGAGGACGAAGCCAAGGGAGCGACGAGTAGATATGGGCCACTTAGGTGCACTAGCGATGATGACGATGGCGGGAGTAGAAGCAGGAGAGAGAGGACAACAAAAAGGACAAGGTAAAGGAGTTTTCCCATAGGCAACTACCCACCACAAATTGGAGAAAAGAAAACAGGAGAATGGATGTGGGTGTGGATATGCCTCTTCTTGGAATTTCCCCTCTCCCCTCGTCTCGTCTATGGCGTCAGTTTCCTGACATCAACGGCGCATCGGGACGGATCTGACCACGATTTCGGCCACATTCACTCGAGGAAGTCACAGTGTGAGTATCGCGTCAGCTTCCCGATATCAACGACCCAACGCACACCGACTATACCTCCTCCTCTTCCTCCTCCTCCTCCTCCTCCTCCTCCTCTCCGCACTCAACCTCTCCTCCTCGTCCGAGGTGCATCGTCCTCTCCTTGTCTCATGCTCTCGTCATCATTCGTACACGCCATCCGTACCGTTTCCCCACTCGCGCTTCAGTGCTTTTCAAATCGTTTTGGACCGTACATGCACTAGTGGGACTTTCTGGACTGGATCTGGCGGTAATCGATGGTCAGACACGTCCAGGAAGAACTCCCAGCGTGGGTACGTACGCCTTTCATCATGATCACCATCATCATACAGTGACGCCCTTTCCCCCCCTGGTCTTCGTCATCAACCTGCCGTTCCCGTGCACGGAACAACAACTCATCTATCCAGTCCAGGTTAATAAAAACGAAGAGGACGTGGAAGCGGAGCTGCACGAGAGATCGAGGACGAGGGAGACGACGAGGGGAGGGCAAGGACGACTTTGTAGGCGAGCGAAACCAAGCGAAAGAAAAGGAAAAAGGGGGCGGCAGCCGAAGGCGTCACTTGAGCAGCTTACCGGCACGCTGGCCACCAGCGGGAGGTCAAGTCACCTGCCAAGGAAGAGGAGAGCAGACAAACCCATAAAGCAATGCGCAGGAATTAGTCCCGCCTGGTTTTCTGGCTCAGGACGAGGACATGGCCTGCGCCTGCACGGGGAATCATGGATGGCAAAACGAGGGAAGGGAACGGACTGGACCCAGGGTGAGGGCGCGGAGAACGCAGCCGTAAGGGCCCAACTTTTTTTTTTCCCCGGGAAGGGGGCCGCGAGGGCGGAGTTGCGCGTCCGTTTCAGTTTCAGGTACATCTGCGCCAGGCCTCGTTTTGACTTACCGTGAGCACACAGGTGCGGATGCCATAGGGCCTCGCTCCACTGCTCACGACATGCACGAAGGACAAAAAATATCGCGGTGCATTCTTTCTGTGTTCTAGGGGAAGAGTCGCTTTGGACATTTCGTGGGGAGTGGGGAGTGGGGAGTGGAGCTAGGCCCATAGTTTGTGCGTCCATGTCATTGGGGAAGGCTAATGTGTGCCTACCAACTGGCCTAATGTGTGCCTAGCAACTGGACTCTACACAGAAAGAAAGATTGACTCTACACAAAAAAAAAGATTGCGTCACGAGGAACGTGAGATAGTTTTATGTTACTTCCAGTGCCCTGTCCTGTCTTCTGGTGAGGGGGGTGGGGCAGCATTGGCTGGGCCGGAGTGGCCAGGTGTTATCCTTCATTGTCCAGTCATCCCCTTCGACATCTGCTCTGTCATCCACTTCGCATTTTCTTATTGGGGAATCTATCCATATTTCCCGGAACAGGTTTATTCAGGCAGCCCTACAGTCTTTGCCCGAATAGAACACCGGGTCATTACAGCCGTATTGGTGCAACTTCCAGTCTACATACAGCGATAATTCACAGCCCTAAGGACGCGGTAGGCTTTGGCGTCCGTGTCAAGGTGGCACATTTTCAGTGGCAGGGAACCGGTGCACAAGTGCATTCTAACAGGGTGAAAGTTGTTGGGGGAACGGTCCACCGTGTTTTTACGGACTACCTACAGCTGCCGCACGTAGAACCCACACGGTAGTAAATTTGGAGGATCATAATTGGAGGACCGTAATTGGAGGACTGGTCCTCGCTTGCATGTGAACTGCAAAAGGGCCTTCAGGCCCAGGCATTGAGGCCCTTCTTCTCAAAACAGGAATGTCGACACTGGGAAGAAGCGCGAAGGCGCAACAAAACAGGCATCAGCTGCAAGAGGCGACTTTGGCGATTTTTTGTGCTTTGAGGAACTCACAGAAAATTCTTGAAAATTTGAGAATCCGTAGATTAGGTCGTGGTCTTTCCAGGGAAAATATCAGAAAATTTTTAATAATTCATTAAGACCGCAAAATTATCGCCACGCAAATTTGGAGGATCGGTCCCCCCTTGTATGTGAACTGCAAAAGGGCCCTCAGGCCTGGGCTTTGAGGTCATTCTTCTCAAAATAGGGAGCTCAGTGCTGGGAAGACAAGGGAAGACGAAATGAAAAAGGTGTCCGGTGCAAGAGGCAACTTTGGTGATTTTTTACGCTTCGAGGAACTGACAAAAAAATCAGAAAATTTAAGAATCGGTAGATTAGGTCGTGATCTTTCCCAAAGAAAACAAAATCAGAAAATTTTCAAAATTTTATTAAGACAGCAAAATAATTGTCGCGCTGATTCGACATATTTTCCATTTTTGTCATGTGTGGGCCAATGGAAAAAGTACTCCAACTTCAATGATTTTTTGCGCTCATAAGAATGCGTGAAAAAACCTAAAAATTAGAGTACTCGTAGATTTTGTTGCCATCTTTTCAAGACAAATATTAAATTTAAATAAAAAATAATTTCATTTGCGAAATAGATCGCGGCAGCAATTCAACCCATATTCCATTTTTGTCATTCTCTCTCTCTCTCTCTCTCTCTCTCTCTCTCTCTCTCTCTCTCTCTCTCTCTCTCTCTCTCTCTCTCTCTCTCTCTCTTGTACGTGTGCTTAGTCCAGTTGCTTTGGCTACCTTAGGGTTGCGTTGTCGAGCGCATCGGCCCCCACGCGAACGAGGGCCCTCCCGGCCGCGTCATGCAGGAGATAAAACAAAAAGCAAAACACAGAGACAACTCGGGGACGACGCATAATTAATCCCGTGGACCGCCGAGACGGTCGTGGTCGCGTCATCCCTTCACCGCTCTAGCCGAGTGCGCCAGCTGTACATCCCGCGGTCCCCTACGACACGACAGGTTCCCGCGCGACATAAGCTTGTTTCCCTAAGGGGTCGTCACCACCCTTAGGGGCGTATCCCTACCGAGCTACTGACCCACGTGCGAAAGATTTACACGCAGTTGCAAGAGTTGGGTCAGCCCATGGCGTTTGCTCGCTCGCTGTAGTATAGGTACTCGCGATTAAAACGCCTATTGAACCCGGACGTCGTCTATTCCTTAGGGCGCTGATCTCTTAAGTACGAAACGTACAGCGATTGACAAGGATGGTTTCAACCAAGTGTGAAACCCCCAATATCCGAGTCCTTTTGATCACTAATTAAAAAAAAAGACATAACAACCACACATAGTTACATAAAAAAGAATCGACCGTAGTCGACATTAACATATATCCAATCTAAAATGATAACCGACCGAATCTAAATAATTATTAAATACATACAATAACACAATATCAAAATAAAATCCGACCACCCCGGGTCGAATTCCACAAAAATCATTCAGCCGTCAACGAGGAGTTGACTTTCGACAATAACATAATGCAGCTGACACAGTAGTCGGACAACCTTAGTTTTGGCTTGATGAGATGCGGTGCCAAAGTTATTCATTCCACCTACCACCGACCTAAGATTAGGTACGGACAAACTCATTTTCACACCTGCCCAATTTTTTTGGATGACAGACTGCTTTGTTGATGATTCTTGATCAGGTGCATTGCTTGAAGTGTTACATGCCTCTCGCTTTAGGAAGTGGTCTGGGGTACTTCTCCTCCTCGCCCGAGTACAAGACTCAGATCTCAGAAGTCGGACCGTCTCCACCGAATCGGTAAAATACTCCCCCCGTAGAACGGTCCACTCTAGGTTGATAAACAGGGTCGGCTCCTAAAGCAATGAACCCCCGCCCCAGCTGCTTCCTTGAGAGAGAGGATGTATCCACTGCAAGTAGCTTTCAATTATTTTTATCTCTCCTAAGTTCAGGGTAACTTAGACAAAAAGAAGACAGCGGAGATAAAAAATGAGCATCATTTGAACAGGTACAGTCATTCGGGATAAAACGGGTAATCCTTAGGAAAATACTAAGTCCATTTGACCTTATCTGCTTTATTTCAATCGAATTTATTTTACGATACACACAAAACTAATGTTGTTCAAAACAACGAATCATTTTTAGCATGCAGGCAGGTGAGAAGTAAAAGAAAGACAATCATTTTTCCTTTTCTCAATTAGGCATAATTAATCTCCTTTGCAAGCATCCTTCTACCTACCTGCACAACACACAAACAACACAATCAAAAGAAGATAAGCAAAGTCTCACTACTCATGCCAGACCCACCTTTTCACTCATGCATGACGCCCACAACCCCACTCAACCTTTTCTCTTGAACATTCAAAGCAAAAGGGTCAAGCAATGTGTGGGTGCACACAAGTGTGAAGGGCGTCTGAGTCGTCCACTGACCTCGAGTGAAGTGGTGTCGAAGAAGCGTCCTGGCTCACTCAAGAAAGTCAACCAATAAGCCGTCTGTGTCACCGCAAGTTGTAGTCTCAAGGAAAATTCTGATCAAACCACCTCTCACTCGCACGCCTCACCCGTGGTAGCCCAAGCGTGAAGACGACAAGCCGCATGCGTCTCAGAAAAACACTCAGTCTGGTACCACGTCAATCCCAACTTGTCTCAGTCTGTTACCACGTCAGTCCCAACTGGTCACAAGTGGTCCCAGATAGTTCCAGATGGTCCCATGTTGTCAAACACTTCGTCGAATGACTATTGAGTCGAAAACCGTTTCCGCCACACTTCTAAAAAAAAATAAAACCGGTGCTGAATCTCAAAACCTCATGCATCGAGACTACCGCAAATGACCGCCTGTGTTCTACGTCAGTCCCAACTGAACCCAGACAGTCCCAAGTAGTCCAGTCCCACTGCTGCAAGTGTTGGTTAGTCCCAACTACAAAACATTTATCTCATATGCCGCATAAAAAAAATAAACCTGTCCGTCGCGCTTATATTTCGTACTGTCGCATGCTGTCAACCGCCACCATGTCACGTTGCTGCTGCTGTACACACCAATGGTATCAGACCTTCACCAATAAAAGCAAACGCTGCGCCGCAACAAAAAAATTTTCCGTGCCGTAAAAGAAACCTCCACTGCGGCGCCGCACGTCCCACCGTCGTGCCGCAATTCCATTATCGTGTCGAACCCTCGTCGAAAAACGGCAGCGCAGGTATTTGCTCATAATTTTGCATTCGACTTAGTACTAATGCCGGTTACCATACCAAGAAGGGTCAGGAGTGAAGAGTAAGAACTTTCAGCGTGACGCCGTGAAGCGAATTCCTCGGCTATTGGGGTCGGGACTACCTATGGAAACGTTGTGAGGAAACCCGGGGAGGGGTCATCTGTCCGCTGCTGAAGCCAGGGACAGCGGCGTCTGTCACCCGCCGTGCCCGCTTCAGAGGTCCTCAGCGGCGGAACAGGGAGTGGGTTTCGTATTGCCCGTCACACCCCACCTGAATGCTCGGTCGGAAGACCGTCACGACATGCCCGAATGAAAGGAAGCTTGAACAAAATTAAATAAATTATCACGGACTTAAARATYCGTTAATTATCAAACATGTGTAGGTAATTAATAGTACACAGACTCCTAATTTTACTAAAATAAACAAGYCGCAGTCCAGCGTGAGAGGGTCCACACGAGAAACTCTCATAAACCCCAGGGTAATGCCTGCAACTTTGTATCACCTTGTAGGGTCCTTTCAGATTGTCATGCAGTTCCCGCCACAKCGAGGCTGCCCCCATTTCTCCCCAAGTTGTTACCCCATGTCACAGCGTGACGATCTGTGCAATGCTTTGAGAACACTTGYTGTCTGATGCTCAGGCCTAGCYTTGGGTCYTATTCCCCTTCACTGTCAAGTCACTGGTATCAACCTGGTTGATTGTTGAAGCAGGCCCAGCTCCCCTTTGATGATCAAGTTGGGCATGTGAGGGTGGTCTCAGGGAGTATCCACCATTTCYTGTTCGTCCGCATTTGCTCCTGGTCAGTCCTAGGAAATCGCACATGTTCGAAAGTCACCCTCCTACTGTCATTTTTCGTTATGTCCAATCCTCGTCCTTTTAAGAATCCGAACGGTCAGTTTTYCTGAATTGTAGCCCCCTAAAGGGATGTGGTGTCCGATCGTTGATAGAACCCCCCAAGTGTGAGAGGCCAATTTAATTCGAATTTCAGCTCAAAAATCCGTGCAGGAAGCCTCATGCAATCCTCTGTTTGAGGTTTCTCATGGTCCAGTCCCTTGCTGAGGCCTCCCCCATTTCTGGAAACCCTCTTTCAACCCCTGATCACTCTCCTTCACTTCTTTTTTTTTTTTCTCTCTCTCTCTCTCTCTCTCTCTCTCTCTCTCTCTCTCTCTCTCTCTCTCTCTCTCTCTCTCTCTCTCTCTCTCTCTCTGTGCATGCGTGTGTGTGTGTGTGTGTGCGTGTGGGTGGGTGGATGTGGGTGTGTGTGTGTGTGTGTGCGTGTGGGTGTGTGTGTGTGGGTGTGTGTGTGTGTGTGTGTGGTAGCCTTTACTCACATAGGGAGTGCGTCGCGGCCCGCTGATTTGTCAACATATGCGGAAAATGAATAAACGAATCTGCAGCAAGAGTACGGTCAGGTGCTTTCATCCTCTTCCTCATTTTCTCACAAGAGTGTGATGCTTCCTKCCCTCTCTTCATCAAATGCAGGCTTAACAGAGTTCACTCCTACGCGTTGGTGATCATGGACGCGTTGGGCGATGCTTTCAAAAGGGCACACATCTCTCCAATCCGTTGC